CAACCATGAATTGATCGTTCAATCCTCAACGACATTGAAGCTGGTCTTTTTAAGTAATTTGGTATACTACAGAAAGGAACAAGACATCAGCAGTATTTTACTTCATATTCTTAATGCGCAGTGGTTTATTATGAATCCACTGCGACATTAAGTCTTCCATAACTTTCGAACAAATTGTCCTTATTCATGCTTATATAATAGTCTTCTTACACGCATTGGACTTAATTATGTTGGAAGCTGAATATTTTCCAAAGGCTTTTTGAAACACAACTTCACCGTATCACTACACAGTGTGATCACAATAGTACTCCTTTTTCTGTTAAAATGAAACCAGACTGTACTGAATATATCAAAATAAAAATAATGCTGAAATTACGCGATGAGTGAGGACAACAGCGCTTCTTTAAACTGGGCAAATACACTAACATGATATCATAAAAAAAGCAAAAATACACGTTTGACTTTGGAAACTACTGCCTCCTTTAAGGCATGACACTACGCGGATATCAGTATTAAGTGATATTTGCTTGCACAAATGCAGCAAACGTAGCGTGTCGGGAGAGCTTTGTGCTGCCAATGTCACATACGCCGGAAGAATGCTTTAACTGAAAATCGCATTCAAAAACATTAAAAAATATGGGTCATCATTAGACCATCATGGCAAAGTACTCTGACCCTTCAATTAGCTGGTATACACACCAAATCTGGTTTTTTAACTTTGGATAAACTCGAGCATCTTGACGCCAATTTGAGGGATTGATTTCGCTAATGAGTAGCTAAGAACGTGAAGAAGTGATTAAGATCAACCCATACTTACAGGACAGCACTTGTGAAACTGCAAACTGTAGGCCACTCAGAGAATGTGAACTTCTTTGTAAAATTTCAGCTATTATTAGCATCCTTAACATTTCGCTTTTATTCCTCTGTGTGAACAAGCCTCTTCTTCGTCAACTGCACCTTCTACTAGCTAAAGTGAATAATTTTCATCAAAGTGCTGCCACAACTGGGTATGATTGTAGATCACATTTCAGTGACTGTTGTCATTCCTCGCAACAGTTTGAGAGCTATCCCATACAGAAGTACATAATCATGTCATAAAGCTAGTGTCAGTCACGTCTCGTAAACCGTTAATGCCCAGCTCTTGCTACGCTGGGACTCACGCTGTCCCTCGAAGCTTCTCAGAAACGCGTAGTAATAACGGACGCAAAAACCAGAACACAGATTGGCGACTCGAGAATTCTTTATTGTAACACCAGCATATAGCCAACTTTACAACTAAGGTCTATGTACAAATACTACAATAATAAATCACAATATTACTTCTGACGGTTTTGTCCTGACTTCTTTCTGAACAGCGACCGATGAGACGATGACTGGCAGATTGATGCCTCCGCGAATATTGAAGAAGTTGGGTTTGAGTAAACAACCATGAATTGATCGTTCAATCTTCAACTACATTGACAGCTAGCTTAAACATGGATTTCTGCGATACGCGAATCTCGTAATTGAGATAGGCGGTGGTGGAGATGATCGACCAGAAGATATGAAGGTAGGGATAAGGTTAACTCATTTACTTTACATATTATGTCCCGTCCTGTTATATACCACTCGCTAAATCCTTTTATACGTGAATAAATAAACATCACTGCGTTCGGCCCACTTCGATTTTACACCACCACGTATAGTCACACAAAGCTTGATAAATGTCACTTTTTACCTTTTTCGCCTGCCATGTTTATTCTCGTTCCTTGGACAAGAGCTCAAATACCCACCCGTATTGCTTCCTCATAATGAGAACAATGTTTTTAAGACCTGTAAACTCATGATCTTTAACTCTTCAATATCTAAAATAAAGCTGAAACAGAACACTCCAGTCTATACACTGGCCTTACTGCAGATGTTAGGAAAACAGAGAGAAGTTTCAAAAGTGACGTCTTACATTGTTCCTATAATTTACGGTAAATTATGTTGATTATTTAACGAAGAGGACAGAAGCATATCTTCACAGGGTAAACTGTATCAATTTTTGCCAACATAATGCGGCTATTCCTTTTTTGATTTATAATTACGTCTAAATATCCGAAAACAATTTGTGAGGAGAGCTTAAACTTGAAGGTTTGTCCTGTGGTCGAAGAGTTGGTGGTCTGTAAAAGTGCATGTAAAAACTAACCACTTAGTCTTATACACACATCATCTCATGGCAACTTAAAAGCTGATTATTTTGGTTATTAAAATACAAGCACATTTACCTCCTCTCTTACTATGCCTGTATGGCTGCCATGGTAGTCATGAAAAAACCTATAAGACTATATGAAATTCACTTTTAATATGGCTTAGATAATTGCATGATTGCACAGGCATCACTTAAGGAGCTAAGTTTCTTTAAGTCTGCAGAGTACTCATGGCGGGTCTACTAAGAAAATATGTAATAATAAAGCAAATTTGAGTGTTCAGAAAGTTCATTTAAAAGTGATTCACTGTGCTATGCAGAAAATTTCACTGATTTGACTACATAACTTAAAGTGTTCGTTCGGGGTTTGGGCGCGTCAGTTTCTAGTGGTTTGCGACCTAGTCAAAAGCCGCCCAGTTCGAAGTTTCCAAGATTCATTCTGAATTTCCGAAGGTATTTTTAGTCGTTGATATGTGTATTCATGTTGCTGTCCACTGTTAAAAATTTTAACATTAAACGCCCACTCTGGAAAGTTTCTAGTGAACTCGTGTCTCTCTAATTCTTTGGCAGAAACCTTTTATTTTTAATATAGTCAATAGGTAATAATAAAAATCTGCTTCATTCCAAAAACAGTACTATCGACGAAGCATGGAATTCTCAGAGTTCGTCACAATACTGCATCTAATATATTAAAAATATAAATGAAGTTAACTGCAGGGGTTTGTTTACATTTACTGTAGGAATAAAGTCAAAAAATGTTAAAGCACAAAATGAGAATGATGATTTTAATAATTATAACATTGCGTTTGTTTCAAATAGTATTGTCGATACAGTATAGAAATTTTAACATGTTATAGGGTGTAGAATCTAATTTTCTCTTCATTTATCATGGTGAGGGGAAAGTAAAAAAATAAGAACTATAACAGAGCTTGAATGGTGTTTATGCTTGCGAGAAAAAAATAAAACAAAACAATTGAGGGGATAACAAATATAATAAGAATAATAACAGTAAGATCTGATGGTATAACGGCGGAGAGAATCGGTTTATTTACTAGAGGAAAGAAGGTGAGTTAGTTCATCCTTGACAGTACTTTCATCATATAAAACAATGAGTTTCAGATGCGGTATCGTGGAACTTTTGTACTTAGAAGTGCACGCATAAAGTCTTTTGAAATAAATTCTTGTTCTACCGGAGGAGATGGAAGGTGAAAGCTGCAGGTAAATTGGATGTTGATAGTCCGAAAAAATCCCTGTAGCAAATTTATTGCAGGAAATTAAGCGTCTGTCATCGATGATGTCAACGATATGGCTCAATAGGATACCACTCGACCTAATTTTTGTTATTAATGTGTTATCTGAGCAGAACAAATACCCTACTGTATTTCGGGGATATATCAATGTTTAGTATAGTGACTTGCAAGTCGATAATGGGGCATGTTTTGTATGGATTTTGTTTTGAGGGTTTATACGTCAGACTCGCTGTGTTCGTCTGTTGCAGGTGTATATACAAACACTGCCTTGACTTAACGTAATTTATGGTAACATCTGGGTCATATTTTCTCGTAAAACACTTATTTTATTCACCACAAAATACGTAAGCATTGAATATTTCATTTATGCACTACACTGACTATAGTCATAGAAAGAATCCAAACGTGACTGTAATTACTTTTGAGTTTTACCAGTGCGGCATTTTAAAGCGTTTTAAGAATGGGAGAATAGTAGGACTTAGTGACAGCGTTGTTAAATTATCAGAATGGAAACCAGAACTTTTTTCAGCAGTTATCTGCGAGAAATGATGGCGACTTCTGAGGAGGAGCTAAACTCTTTTGTGAAATTATTAAGTGCATACAGATATCAGTATTAGGTTGAAATTCAGACTTCAATTAAATGGTTATTCTCTGGGCCTCAAATGTAGTTTACATGAAGCCAGATGACTTTTTTCATCCCGAAACTCTTAAAATGTCCTAATTTTCGAGTAAAATAGCTTACTAGTATTGCGTTTTTAAGTGAAGTCATTTACAGACATGAAGTTCAAATAAGTTGACGAGGCTTTAAATATGGACTCTTAGCCAGGCTAGACATAAGTTATACGTCGGAAACACTTGTAATTTTACCCGTTTCAACAGTATTTTAATTAATTTAAAAAACAATTTATGTGATTCATGTTCAATCAGTGTGACACAGTCGTGCCTAAGATACGGTCCTTGTAAAATCCTAGATGCCTCATCACTTCATACCTGCCGGTTTCAATGATTTTTTCGAACCACAATATATTTCATCAATAATACTAGATGGCTGGAGGCAATCGGCAGGAAGCCTTGGACCTAGGTTTCGTGCTGGTTGGCACTCATCAGCAAGGCGTATCTGCAACCTTGAAGGAACTCATTTCCCTTCTGAGATTCGAACTCGCGTCACCCAGTGAAGGCTGCAGTCGGAGACGTTACCACTGAGCTATTCGGGCTCGCGATTGACCTCCTGTAGGAGTCTAGTGGATATTTTGATTTGACACTAGTAACTAGTGTGATGCATCTAGTCTTCTGATTGGTGTAGACTGAATTCTATCAGTCAGGTTGTAATGTGACCACCATTCTAGCTAGGTCGCCATCTAATACTATCAAATCAATATGCACCGTGAAGGCGAGCTAGCTAGAATGGTGGTCACATTACAACCTGACTGATAGAATTCAGTCTACACCAATCAGAGGACTAGATGCATCACACTAGTTACTAGTGTCAAATCAAAATATTTCATCAATGTTCATCGAGAAAATTAGTGACTCAGCATATGTGAAACTTCTCCTAGCCACTTTAACCATTGGGGCCTTACCTTCCTTAACTAACAATGTACATATAATCTCATTATCAGCTGCCATGCTGCCGGAGTCAACGTAAACAATTGGGTGAAGACGTACATAGGACCTACATAGAGACATGATCCGCGAGTTTTTGTGTACAGTTTGTATATATGTGTGGTGTGTCATATCAATTGGTGTTTTTGGATTCACTGTGTTTTAACTTGTTGTTTTCGTGTCTTGTTGTTATGCATAATTTTGTTAAAATTTTCGTCGTGATTACTTCTGAAGTTGTTTCAAGCCTTCTAGATCCTTGAATGAATTGATTGATGTTAAAGACAGCAGATGGGTCTTATGCGCCGGGGAAGCTAGTGCTGAGAATGGCATGCACACGGAGATAGTGATTGGCTGTGGTCCCACACGCCAGGGAGGGAGAATGTAGACGACTGAGGCCTGCACACGTCGCCGTTACTAGAACTGAGGCAAAATGTGTGACAAGTGATAGCCGTGGTAATCGGGAGTGAATAGATAAGAGGATATGTAAAGAGTATTATGAGATGGTGCTATGGTCCCGTTGCATTTTGCAAGAGTCGTTCTAGCAAGTGGCGATTGTGTTGCAAGATGTCAAGAGAATGCCTTTACCTGGAGGTGCAGGTCGCCATCGATGTGTGAGATCGTGCTGTGGGTATGCTTGTGACGTGTCGGCTTTGCTGTTCGTTTTCCATTTCAGCTCTGTCCATGTGGCCCAGTTCCTCGGAATGGCATCCAAGTCAACGTGTATTGGTCGTGATGGCAAAAAGGGATGGATGCATTTTTGCCGGGGAGTGTTAATGTAGTTGAAGATTGAACGATCAATTCATGGTTGTTTGCTCAAAATCCAACTTCGCTATATTTTCGTGGAGACCTCCATACAGCAGTCATCGTCTCCTCTGTCGCTCTTCAGAAGGAACGCAGTCCAAATCTGTCAGAAACCTTAGTTAAAGCTCAATTTTAAAGTCGGCTATATATTGGTGTTACAATAAAGAATTCTCGAGTAGCCGATCGGTGGTTTGGTTTTGCGTCCGTTATTACTAAGCGTTTCTGAGAAACTTCAAGGAACATCGTGAGTCCCAGCGTAGTAAGAGCTGGGCATTGACGGTTTATGAGACGTGGCTGACAACATCAATTGATATGACGCACTATAGATATGTACTAACAGTACAAATAACCTCGCAGAACATGTCTCTATGGAATTACTTTGAAGAATTGCGGGACTGATACCAGTGCGCCTGCAACCCTTCTGAGGTTGTTCATTGTAAATTGAAGAATATCCTGACACTTACAAGATTATCCAAGAATTACATTAATTGTGACCAACTCAGGTACTTAACACAAGCATATGTACAATCAATACATCAAATGTTGTTGACTCTGGCTTGACGAACTACTCTTGAGGTACTGAGGGACCTACAGCAGTACGCCTACATTCCTTCTCAGTTTGACGATACAAGTGGAAGACATCGAGACACAAACGAAGTTACGAAGAGAAAGATGTTAGATGTTACCAATTCAGTATATACAACATGAACATATATACAAAGTAACACACCAAGTACTATATGCTGAGCTTCGACGCATTATCCTTGAAGAATTGTGGGACTTACTGCGGTTCGCCTACATCCCTTCTCTGGTTAATACCCTAGGTTGGAAAATCGTCGCAGAGTTTATATACTGACCTCCTTCTATCATCTATATCCTCAACTCCGAATAGTGACACGCCTATGTCATTTTATCGCGGAATATAGATGACTAACAAACATACGACCTATGTGAGCGACCAAGTGTAGACACATAGCAGTTTACACCAAAGTTAATAACATTCAAATAGTAACTTGAAACTTGAAAGGACTTTATTCGTGCAAGCCAGTTTAACCATTACCCTCTCGTACACAGTGTACTTATCCTCATTAAACTGACCTATATCTTTCGTTTCTTCAAATGCACTGATACTAGCATAGTCATAGTACAAGAAACGTAAGTACATGGACGTCTCTTTCATTGTGGATGACAACACCAAAGACGACTGAGTGACAAAAGTTGACGAACTTAGTGGTACATCAGAAGCTGTTGGATTACCACCACTGCTATCTTTTATGATTAGCACCTGTTCAGCCTTAATATCTGTCGACAGGTGGGCTACACGCTGATCACTTACACTGATTGTATCACGAGTATCCATACCTTCTGCGACTGCATCTGCCTTTAAGCGTACTTAACGTTCAATCTCTACAAAGCCTTCGTTCAACCTAGCAGCAGTAGGCAATCCCCTCACCTCACCATGATCAACCAAAGACAAAAGTGCACTATCATGATCATAATCATAAATATTCATTTTACTGTCGTCTATCTGGTCGACTTTATCATTTCCAAACTCTTTAATAACAGCAGTAGACGATTTGGGCTCTTCCTCATAGATCCTTAAAGGTTTTGTACCTTTGCTCTGACTAGTTACACTTTTTAACCTTGTGGAGTCAGAACTAGACTCTGAAACTGTAACTCTCTTCTCCTGTATAAACTGTTGTCTGCGACTCTCTAATCAACAATGACTCACCAGTTGCAACTACAGGCTTCTTCACCGCACCATTATCGTCACACCATTCGGAGTCAGACCTTGATTTCACATTTATCTTACCACTATACTTGGTTACTGATTTACAGTCCGCCTTTGTGTGCACTTCTCGCAAACGTTTAAAACGCAACCGCGTTTGTCTCTCAACTTGTAACCTCTCTTTTGAGGATGTCCCACGAAAGCTGCCACACTCACTAAGTTTATGTGGATTACTAGACACCATGAAGCTTTTTCGATAACCACTTCTTTAGGACCCTTTCGTCATAAATGATTGCGTTTTGCTCTCAGACTGCTCTATTCTAAGGGTGGGATGCAATATACTGACAAACTTGCTCATAGCTTGATTGACACTATCTTTTACCAGTTTCAGGATAACACCAAACTTTGGCTCAGTACCTTCAACTTCCATACGAGACCTTATCTTCACCCACTTCCTTTGCAGTTGAGTAGGTAGGCGTCTCGCTATTACCTCTAGGACGGAACTTGAGTTCAGATCTCTCATTCAATTCGTCGAAATCAACGCATTCTTGTGAGTCATCAGATTATCTAAAAGCTCAAAGAGTGCCTTGGAGTCATCTTGTAATTGATTACAATTACTGTTAGCAGCCTCGAATACGTTCCTTACAATCATCGAAGATCTTCCAAACCTTTGACGCAGGATACACATCGCCTAAGTATATCCTTCATTTGGCGGAATGAACTTACAACACTTCATAGCTCTTGCAGCAATTCCAGTGCAGTACCTCATCAAATACATCAACTTCATTTCATCATTTAATTCAAGCCCACTCAACATGATTTCAAACTCTTTTACAAATTGTGGATAGTCAGCTGGGTTTCCGTCGAAACACCGATACTCACATTTAGGTAGTTTAAAGTCCCTATTATCCCTAGACGACGAAACATTGACATCAACCTTATCATGCTTGACATCACACACATCATTACATGTAACAGGCAAGTCAACATTACTTACTTTCCTGCTTGCTTCAGAGACACTTTCTCTCTTCTTCGACCCAGGGATCATTGAACCCGACCAAAATTCCAGAAAAGTTCCAGATAATACTTGTCCAAAGAAGACTTGCAAGCACCAGGAAAGACGAACGGAAACTATCCAAACACTATCAGAATCTGTCAGCTAACTCTCATAAACTGTCAATGTCCAGCTCTTACTACGCCGGACCTCACGCTGTCCCTCGTACACTTTCAGAGACAATCCGTGATAACCAACGCGGAAAAACCAGAACACAGATTGGCGACTCGAGAATCATTTATACTGACGTCAATATGTAGCCAACAATAAGGTTATCACACACAAGGTCCAAGAATAAATGTTACAACAATAAATCACGATATTACTTCCGATAGTTTTCTGTCTTCCATCGAGCAGCGAACGATGAGACGATGACAGCTGGATCGATGACTACCGCCAAAAATATAAAGTCGGCTTTGAGCAAACAACCATGAATTGATCGTTCAATCTTCAACTACATCAACACTCCCCGGCAAAAATGCATCCATCCCTTTTTGCCATCACGACCAATACACATTGACTTGGATGCCATTCCGAGGAACTGGGCCACATGGACAGAGCTGAAATGGAAAACGAACAGCAAAGCCGACACATCACAAGCATACCCACAGCACGATCTCACACATCGATGGCGACCTGCACCTCCAGGTAAAGGCATTCTCTTGACATCTTGCAACACAATCGCCACTTGCTAGAACGACTCTTGCAAAATGCAACGGGACCATAGCACCATCTCATAATACTCTTTACATATCCTCTTATCTATTCACTCCCGATTACCACGGCTATCACTTGTCACACATTTTGCCTCAGTTCTAGTAACGGCGACGTGTGCAGGCCTCAGTCGTCTACATTCTCCCTCCCTGGCGTGTGGGACCACAGCCAATCACTATCTCCGTGTGCATGCCATTCTCAGCACTAGCTTCCCCGGCGCATAAGACCCATCTGCTGTCTTTAACATCAATCAATTCATTCAAGGATCTAGAAGGCTTGAAACAACTTCAGAAGTAATCACGACGAAAATTTTAACAAAATTATGCATAACAACAAGACACGAAAACAACAAGTAAACACAGTGAATCCAAAAACACCAATTGATATGACACACCACACATATATACAAACTGTACACAAAAACTCGCGGATCATGTCTCGATGCCATTCTTTTGAAGAATTGCTGGACAGACACCAGTGCTCTTGCAACCGTCTGACGCACTCCGCTTTCAGTAGGGAGGGTGGCTCTATCTGATCAGTAGATATGGTGGTGTTCACTGAGGTGAATCGCTCCAGATTTTTCTGATTTTTATGAGGGCTTAGATCTTTATCTTGAAAAAGATAATAATGAACGCCTAAACAGATCATGCCTCTGCCTTTAAATATATACCATTCGCTCAGCCTATCGTTGAGATGCGACCACGTGGGCTCTGCACAGATTTATGG